TTTTATATTTTTATGCATTCTGGTTTTTAAATTCACTGGAAACAGTAGATGTATCCCAGGCTCTGTCTGCACGCCTACTAACATGCTGCTTCCTCCACGACTAAAGACAGCCAACCATGCACAGATGTTTCATGCTCTTTGGCAACTCATTAGCTTGGTCAAGGCTTGGACACTGGGACAACAAACGAAAGTTTGTTGTAATTAAGAATATAAAAATAATAATCATCAAATCATAATCTCATACTGGATGTATCAAAAGTCTGATCCGCATTTTTTGACCATTAGGGCCGTATCGTCAGTCGTTCCTACAATTATTGTAGGACGCCTTTATTACCTCCTTGACTTTAATAGTATTTTTTCTCCTTCAGAAAGGCTCGGTAAAAATAGAATTCTACTGTTTCGTGTCAGCGTCAGCGCTCTCCTGTTGTGAGGCTATGTTTTCTTTTTGAATTGTAGGAAATTTCAGGTTATATAACAGATGATATAAATCAAAAGCATGAATAGTTTGAAGCAAATGGACCTCATAACCTCAAAATGGAGCGCTGACACTGAACAGTAGAAAATTGTGAAAATCAAGGAGGCCATAAAGGCGTTCTACGATTGTAGGATCGACAGACGATACGTCCCTTGATTCGGGATTTCATGTCCGACTATAAATTGAACTCCCCACCGGAACTTTTTTGTATGGCCATTTTTACCAAAGTTATAGGATATATTTATATAAAAGTTATAGGGTATAATATAAATTTATTCATGCAATACCTTTCTTAGTAAGAGCTGCCCCTGAAGTTGTATTTTTCAAACACAGCAGTATGTTTTTAATGAAAATAATGTTTTCGTTTTTCCTGATTCAAATATATACTCAGTATAGTTGACCATATTTATTGTCGTTAGTTTTGTCGAAAAGTTTGTTTGACATTTATTCAAGGGTATCAGAGTTCAAACCACATTGCATCTAATCGCATATGCAATCTGGTAAGGCCGGATACAGTTAATGATTAAATGACACACGAAGAATGTAACATTGACAGCGGCCTTAATCAACAATTAAAAACAAGAATTTACAATAGCAATACCACCTACATGCTTTGGATTTTTGTTTTTTGTGGTTTGAAAGATAATTATGAACTTTGGCAACGTTAAACCATTTTTTTTATGTTGTATGTTGAGATCGAATGTAGCACATTTTGCACTTTCTCAAATATTAAATCGCCTATCTCTCGATAACTATGACCTTTGAAGAAGTTTCTAAGAACCTTTCTTGTTCAGATTAAACAAAACAATCTTAAAAAATTGTCCTGATCGTGTAAAACCATTTTTGGGATTTGTTAAAATAAATGTTTAAACAATTTTTTATGCAATTATGGGCTTGACAACATGTCACAGCTCTCATTAAAAGCGTTGCTCTTTGTAGCACATGCAAAAATACCGAATCAGAATATTTTAGGGCCCAACCTTCTTGGAAATTTTCGTTTTATTTTTGGACCTGCCTCCTACCCTGAAAATATTTTAACTGGATTTTGAGTCCAACAAGCAGTATTTCTAAATTCTTAAGTTATAAAAAAATATTCAGTTCTGCCCAAAAAAGATATTTACCTTCTTTGAAAAATTTTGTGGTGTACGTTCTACTCAATTGACATTTTCCTGCAAAGAGACAACGGCCCGTTTGAGATGCAACTACAAAGTTGCAAACTCAACAACATGAAAGAAGCCGCCTTTATAGTCTGCATCTGAATGACACAGATATATTCCGAGAATGCAAAGGACGCATTACTATTACATAGTCGGTATAAAAGAGACCTTCAGTCATGCATATTTTATTAAAAGAACATAGAGAGGAAGAAAGCGAGTTCGTGAAACATTATTTATTAATATGGTAATATAGTGCAGTAAAACCTGTACCCTATCAGTCCTATCACGTATACGAGTAGATGATAAAAGGCGCAGGGAATTAGTTATTACCTTCTGCCTTCCGAGAGAAAAATTGAGCATTCACCAATCAAAGATAATCATGTTATATCCTTCCTAGATGTCTATGATTATGCACTCACACATATAGACTATCATCAGCTCGTGCGTAAAGGTTATGTTTGAAAGTTGTACATTTTTTATAGATGAATCATAGCATGTTAACTACAGAAACGATGAATTGGCAGATAAGATCCGTTGATTTAATTATTTTCTATAATTTGGAAATTAAACAAAAAATTAAAATTAAACATGTAATTTAAAACTTGAAATTTTAGCTCGTGTATTGCAAAGTACAAATATATAATTGCCAGGAGATTATGATGCTGCTGCCACGAGAATCGAAAAGTGTATGACTTAAAATAAACTTTGTTTTTTTACACCGACGCAGCCTCGCAGGCAGAAGCCTAAATGCCAGGGCACCGCGGCTGCCATGAGGAGCTTAAAGAAACTTTGTTAGTACAATTTTTGATCTGCCTAAGGTTAGTAGAATTTTGAAAAGCCTCCTAATGTAAAGTGTTCCACACTCTTAATACCCTAGCGACAAAGGAGCGGTCGTGTTGGCCAGTTCTGCATGCACGAAGTTTGATACGGTTAGGAAGGGTGGCTGCAGTCAGCCCGGTCTATCTAGCAGGCACATCGCGTGGCGGCATCATGGAGAAGAGATCTATACGTATATCGCCAACGGTCCGCTGCTGCGAAAGGGTCCCGAGGCTGTCCGTTAAAGAAGAATCATCGATCAGTTGGACAGCACTCCTCTGAACAGCTTCGAGTATGGATAATGTAGTCGGGGCGGCAGCACTCCAGACAAGTAAGTAGTTCGAGAGTATTTTTTGCCAGCAGCTGCCGCTAATGACAATGCCGCAATGTGTGTTGAAATCTTTACGGATGTGTAAGTAAGGTTTTTGGAATAAGTCAGTTCTGATTCCAGGCGATGATGATCGTTAAGTAGCTGTCTGGCGAATGTTAAAGTGTGCAGTAGGTATATGGGTAAAAATAAACTTCAATGTGGTATGATGTTTGTTTCTTCGCTACTTTTTATAACTTAGTATGGCCGTTGTGTACATATAGTATGTTACCTCGAGCATCACACATCCGTAGCTGTATGAGGAATCCAAAAAGTATCAGTATTAACAACTTTCATGTTTTTCTTTGTTTCTTCTGCCCCACCTTCTATTGATAAAATTCTATTTCATAGAGAACAAGTAAATGATCATTGCAATTGTCAACTCAAGAACTATTTTGGAGAAATTGTGCCTCTTCAAATGTTGAGAGCAGCACTATTCCGCAAGAAATCCTGATAAAATTTTAACTTTCTATTGCTCAACTCCGTTGTTTTGATACACAATATTAGTTTTTATGTGTAAATCTATAGTTTTCATGAAACTAAAATACTTGGTACCAGTATGATGGGCATTTACATGTACACACTAATTGTCTAAGTCTCGATCTATACAACGAATACGATGAATACAATGATGAAGACAATGTATAGAGTAGCATAAGTGAGGTTAGGTTTATTGGCAAACATCAGAAAGTTGGCAAACAGTGAACCGATAACTTAAAAAAGTATGGTTGAACGCTCCAAGAACAAAGAAATCGATGAACTAGGGTTCATTTGTTGTACTTAGTTTATTTAAAACTGTAAATTGTATACGTGTATAAATAAATATATATTTTTTCATTCTTTATAAACTGCTTCCACAGTCAAACAAATAATGCAATTTTGCAGAATTTGTATCTATCCTGAACTTTCAGTTCCACCTAAAATTGGAGAACCATGAGGATCGATCTGGAATTGATCCTAAACAGATTCGACAGAAATGTGTACTTGAGCGTAGAAAACAAGACGTTGCAGCAAGTTACAGTTGTGTTCTGTGGCCTTCATCACTGTTGTTCCAGGCAACGTGGTGTGTGGAGCCTTTCTACACAAGTGGTGCCCGCTTCTCCCACTCTCTCTCTCTCTCTCTTCCCCGTACACATGGAATTCTAAAAGGGAAAGGGACATTCGCCAGCACTGTAGGCCAATAGTTGAACTATGATTTGCTATTATATACATTTTATACATTGTATACGTGAATATCGAGACGTGTATATTCATCATTGTATACGCGTCTACAATGGTGTATACGTCAATGCGCCCATCACTGCTTGGTACTGCCCATACGTTACAACTCCGCCCTTAATATAATCTATGATGTAGAAGCGGAACGTCGATGTGGCTTCAATCATATGGCTGAATAAAAACCAAATCGGTACTGCTTGAGACAATATAATGATCCCTATTCATAAAACAAAGGATATCCTTGTACTTGCAAATTTTGAAGGAAATCCTCCAGATGGTATTCATAATAAGTTGAAGTAAGTGCTTTTGCTTTTTGAGTATAAGCACATCCTTCAAAGCAGTGACATAAGTAAAATGATATTCACAATCTTCTCCTTATAGTTGGCATAGGAAGCATATCCTTCGAAAATTCTGAGTGTGGTCAGTAGCAGACTCAACTTCGTAACGAAAGGTGGTCAAACGATGATATCGAAAATTGTGGATGTTAGGGATGTTAGAAGGTTCAAACCTCGTTTACCTTCACTTGGTCGTGACTTAAAAAAATTATATCGGTTCGACGAAGCAAATGTACAATGGCTTGCGGACAGATTTTTAGTTGAGAATGAGGAAACTCGAGGAAGAGCACTTTCATGTATTCATAAAATTAAGATATGTCTACGCTATCTCGGTGACGCTAGAAATCAACAAGGTATTGGTCAGGAACTTGGTGTTAGTCAAGTAACGGTATCTCGGACTGTGGATAGAGTTGTAAACAGCATAGTTGCATAGTCGAACGAATGGATCAAGTTTCCAACTACCAACCATGAACTGATGGAGGCCAAGCGGATATGGCAAAGCATGTATAAATTTCCGAAAGCAATTGGTGTAATTGATTGTACATATATAGGAATCCTGAAACCAAATCGCCATGGAGATGAGTATATCAACCGAAAAGGGAAACCTACTTTAAGTGTGCAAGCCACTTCTGATGCCAGAGAGATGTTCACAAGTGTTGATGTCAGTTGACCTGGATCAGTGCATGATTCCAGAATATGGAGAAATTCACACTAGATCACAACTAATAAATAAAGCAAATGTTGTACTACTTGGCGATGACGGTTATGGTATTGAGCCATGCCTTATGACTCCCTTCAGAAATCCTACTCCAGGTGCAGAAATAAATTATAATAAGCTTTTAAAACAAGAAAGAGTTATAATTGAACGCTGTTTCGGCCAACTGAAATGCCGGTTTCCTATCCTACAGTATGTTTGCCGCGCAAAGTGGGAAAATGTACCGAAAATAAGTATTGCTTGTATTGTACTCCATAATGCTGTGAAGAGCTTGGGCGATCCTGACTTTGAACTAAGTAGTTGAACAAGACCCAGATGAAGATGAAGGAAATCATGAGAATGACGAACTTCCTCTCCGCCAACTAGGTCAACAAATAAGAAGAAACTTGAGTATTATAATAAATAGTTTTACTGGTTAAAGTGTATTTATAAGTTATAATAAGTTTTATTTTCGTGAACATCATAAGTGACAGGTAGCTTCTGACGCTGCATCATTTCTAATTTCGTTTTATAATACTCTTGTTGTAAAATACTTGTTTGGTACTATACTGTAATAGCACCAGACGTTGCAGTTATTTTGTAGTTAACCCTTTGGTTTCGTATTTCTCTGTTGCTAGTTTTCTTTTTGGTGGCAATGTCTTCTGAATTGCTGGCGCTGTAATACTAACTGTTTGCACACTGCGCTCGGTATATAGTTCACTTCCTTGTTCTTGAATAGTACCAACCTGAATGACACCTCTATTTTTCCAATTGTAGGATTACAGTCACCTTCCATAGCTTTCAGCAACTTTCTTTCCCAATCTAACAATTTAATTGCTATATTATCAGTTTTTTTAAACTGTTTCTTCCTTCAATCTTGATTTCATGTTGTTAATTTTTTTAATAAGCCTTTAGTATCTAATGGTTTACCGAATGCTGATTCGTATTTTTTCAATATCTTCTTCAAGGCATCATCCTTTCTCATTTTTATTTTTGGAACTTGTGGATGACATTCTTATTAATTTGATAAAAAAACTGTATCTAGTAAAAATACGGGACGGTCTGTGTAAGCTCTGGAGTACAACTGAGTGAACGAACTCCCACGTCAACTACAAGCTGGAGCAAGTCAGGACATGTCGCTCAAGATACAAATACCAGTCAACCTTTTACTTCTTGGAGGATATCCTTGCGAGTATAAGGTAATCATTATGAATATGAAAACAAGGATGTGCTTATACTTCTACCTTTTGCTCCGAAGCAAGACCTTATACTTTTACCTTATGCTTCCGAGGATATGCTTCTGTTTTATGAATACGGCTCAATATCTTGTAACAGTAAATAAACAAGAACCAAAACTTATGGACGTTCAGAAAATATTTACCGAATCGTAAATCGAGTTATAAGCAATCCTAGATACTGTTTAGAGTGTATGCTTTGAAGCAACAAAAAAATGTATAAATCGCCCTCAGAGAGTTAGCATGCGATTCTAAGAAGCAAAAAGTGATATTTATCCGGCTGCCGGCCGTCTAAAAACGTATAATTTCACTCGTCCGGCTTGCCAGCACCAGCACATACATATTCATCGGACCATTTACCGATTTATGGTTCAACCACTACTGCAGTGGATTCCATGTCTGACCATCTTACTCTAGGGTATTCATAAACCACGAAGCTACCATCGAATCGTGGGGCGTGATGTCCACCCGTACTTTCATTTTTAATACATCACGTTAATTCAACACAACGCTAAGGTGGTTGGTATGAATCAAACAACTTAATAGTAGGACCAAGACTTGTGGAAAGAAAAACAGTGGATCAAGCTTGATTCCCCACTTTCTAACATCTTACCGACCAAGTCCTTTAGCGGCGTTGGGCATGCCCGCAGTGAAGGAACAAGAGCAGAAAGAAGGATTGGTAACCCGGGCAACGTCCGTTTCTGCTTATTGGCATCATCAGGCCCAAATGATTGTGCATCGAAATCACCGAAGTGCATATACCAAGTGACATATAAATCCGAACACCCAGTTTAAATGGTTTTATTTTAATAAAATTTTGCATAAGTACTTAATGAAGCATAATAAGTAAATGATAAAAATTTCAAAATGATTGCACTGCTTTAAAGCCCTTTGACCTTTAATAATGTGTGGATCACCCTGATGTGCTACGCATTCTCCAACGCGCCTAGGCATGCTTCTGATCAGGTGGTCAATGTCCTCCTGTGGTGTCTCATTCCAGGCAACCACCAACTCCTCTCGAAGTGCTTCTAGAGTCTGATGAGGACGTTGCAAATTGAGCAATCTCCTACCCATCATATCCCACACGTGCTCAATTGGGGATAAGTCGGGAGATCTTGGTGGCCATGGTAACAATGTGACATCATTATGTTGAAAGAAGTCTATTGTGACTCTTGCAACATGTGGTCGGGCATTATCTTGTTGGAAAGTTGGATCTGCCAGGATGTCAAGATAGGGTAAAAGATGGGGTTCTAGAACTTCGTGGATATAACGCTGTGCGTTTATGTTACCTCTGATGGAGATTAAAGGTGACCTGGAACCATAAGCTATAGCACCCCAAACCATAACTCCAACAGTGTGATGAACATGTCTTTCAACAAAAAACTGTGGATTCCTCCTTTCATCACGTACCCTTCTAACCCTGGCACGACCATCGTGCATGCCTAAACAAAATCGAGACTCGTCACTAAAGACAATACTGTTCCATTCCTGATCCCAGAGTGACCGTTGTCTGCACCACTCAAGGCGATTACGTCGGTGTTCTCGAGTTAAAGGGAGGACCCAGTGTGGCCGGTATGAAAACAAGCCAAAACTTCTCATTCGTCGGTAAACACTTCGCATGCCAATAGGTCTTCCGTGTTCTGCAAACCATTCATTTGCAATGGACCTGGTAGTGGAAAAACGGTCCCTTAAGGCCTATAATCTTAGGCGGCGATCTTCACGGTCTGTTGTTCTACGGCGGCGTCCAGTGCCCCTTGCTCTTTGCGTACGGCCTTCTCGAAGCCATGCCTGACAACACCTAACCACAGTGTCTACACTTCTTTGCACTCTAACTGCAGTTGCCCGAAAAGAAAGTCCAGCTTCCCGAAGTCCCACTATACGGCCCCTATCAAACTCACTAAGTTGACGAAATCGTACAGGTCTCCGTACTCTAGGCATCGTAACCGATCGTAAAGGATGTCAAGAACCAAAATCCGCCAACGTTGATTCTTTACTGCGGCTGAAATATTCATTTTTAGGGCTTTAGTGAATTAAAAAAAAGCAGTATAAAAACCGGAATGTCCAACTGATAAGGCTGAAAATTTTTTCACTTGTTATTTACAGTAAGATAAATACATTCACCAACTTCTATTAAAATAAAACCATTTAAACTGGGTGTCCGGATTTATATGTCACTTAGTATATGACCATCACATCTGAGCTGGTTTCCAGTTGTTTTTGGTTTGAGAGTGCATACTCAATTGCTCCGAGTTACTCAGAGTAACACAACAAGGTCACTGAAAAGCAACTCTGGTTACGTATACCTGGCCATAGGAAATTTGCAAACAATTTTCTTTGAAGCATTATTAACCTTAAAAAATTGTGTCAATGAGAAAAAATAAACGGGCATTTACAAAAAAACTCATAACCCCTAAGTGTCATTTATTTGCCATACTGACTTTTTTCCAACCTATTTTGCAAACTTACAACTTTTTGTTGGTCATAAATAAAATAATATTTACATACCAATATGCCCAAAAAAGAATCTAACATTGCGGGCATATTTTAGGTTAATACTAGGTAAGCTATGACCTCCATATTGTCTTTGCGATCAAGTATTTTTAAAGTACTGTTTAGAGGTTTATTTTCGTTAGTTTTAATACATCCAGTTCCACCTCTTGGTGGTGAAAGGTCTGCTAGGGTCCTAATTTAGCACGTAGTTACTAATTTTTTACAAGTTCAACTCTCAAGACAACTCAACTTTTGAGTACGTCATTCAGGAATATAATTACTAAAATTCTACAAATATAGGTTACTTTTTCTTAGATGGTAGCCCATTTAACATAGTGCTAGTTGGGCATGTATTCAAAAAGACATTGCATAAAAAACTTTATTTTAGTCTCTATGATATTTGTACAAAACTTTTTCTCTAAGCGATCATACAAAAAACTTAAGAGGCCGGTCAAGCCTTATGCTTTCAAGCCAAGACAGCTCTAACAACACTACATCTTCCACTGTTCCAAAGTCCACTGTTTCTGGCTTGGTGGATACAATATATAATCACTATTATGAAATGTACCGTTCGAAATGTTTTTCCACCTAAAATCTACTCTTTCTTAACTAGACGTACATAATGAAAGCCGAGTATCTATGACATAAAAACAAAGGTCTCACGGACCGCTTTGATAACAAATTAGGAGTATGGCAGAATTTTCCCAGCAATTAACCTTCACCGATTTTTACCAATGCACGCACCAGCGGTCACCGTTTCGTGATGTTCACCATCACCAAATAACAAAAACACGCTTTGAACAGTCCTGTACCAACTTCTTTTTCTATTTTGAAATTTTCCCATATACGTACATTGTTTCGCGGATAAATCTTCAACACGCTGGCATTTGTTTTCCAGCGCATACGCGTTATTTATGTAGTTTCAATGTCAGAAGACAGTAACGTATCAATGGGGATGCAAATACCTTGCACCCTCCAAGAAAAAAATGTTGAGGTGAATGGCCAGATTACTGTGTGACAGAAAACTTGTCAAATTTTAAGTGGATAGGCATTTAGAAAAAAAATAAGTACATTAATTCAATTCGAGTTCATATACACAAATGTATTTTCATATTTCTCAACATACCAGTTCTGATTTTTTCTGCAACTACATCACAAGGCACCGGGAATGAGTGACTTGGGTTTGTGACATACGACATCAAAATATATCAAAAAATGTATCTGAATTTCGAAACTAATTAACCCCTTGAGGAAGGTGAAAGTGTTGAAAATTGTTGAAATTACGAAATATGTGACAAAAACTTAATCTAATTATTCAGATTATTCTGAGAAAACATTTCAATCTTACAGAATTGACGCTGATTATGAAGTTTGGGAACATGGTATGAAACTTATGAATTGATCCACGTTCCACATGAAATATTAAGTACTTACTTTTATGTTTCCAAATCTCATGTATATTCGAGGTGCAGCTTAGTAAAAAAGTTGTTCTATGTGAAGATATTTACGCGTAATGTTCAAAAAATCTACTTGGATATATACTAAGTGACATATAACACCTTTAATCTTCATCAGAGGTAACATGAACGCGCAGCGTTAT